GTATACCCAGGGAGTACAAAGCTGTACCAAGATTTGAAAAAGACTTTCTGGTGGAACAACATGAAGCGAGTTATAGTACAGTTTGTTGCTAAGTGTTTGACGTGCCAGCAGGTGAAGCAGAACATCAAAAACCTGCTGGACTACTGCGGCCCTTGCCTATACCAGAGTGAAAATGGGAGCACATCACAATGGACTTTGTTTTTTGATTACCTAAATCAAGTACAGGGCATGATAATATCTGGGTCGTAGTGGACCGCCTAACCAAAGCTGCTCATTTCTTACCGGTTCGCACAACCCATACTCTAGATAAGTTGGCGCAATTGTACATCAGAGAAATTGTGAGATTACACGTGGGGCCAATCAACATTGTGTCGGACAGGGATACCAGATTCACCTCTAGATTTTCGGCAAGTCTGCAATCAGCTTTGAGTACCAGACATACTTTTAGCACTGCCTTTCACCCCCAAACAGATGGACAATAGAAAGAACCATTCAGACCTTGGAGGACATGTTAAGGGTACGTATCATTGAATTTAAGGGAAGCTAGGAAGACCATCTACCTTTGATAGAATTTGCTAACAACAATAGTTTCCAAGCCAGTATTCAGATGGCACCTTATGAAGCCTTGTATGGAAGAAAACATAGGTCGCCCATCTGCTGGGATGAGGTGGGCAAAAGAAGATTATTATAGCTCGAAATAGTTTAGATGACTTTTGAGAAGATTGCCTTAATCAGAGAGCGGCTCAAGACAGCCCAAAGTTAGTAAAAGAGTTACGTCGATAATTGCCGAAGAGACCTCGAGTTTGGAGTGGGGGTTCGGGTCTTCCTGAAGCTATCCCCAACCAAGGGTGTTATGAGATTTGGTAAAAAGGGGAAATTGAGCCTACGATTCATTTGATCTTTTGAAGTTCTAGAAAGAATTGGAAGCATGGCATACCGACCTGCTCTGCCACCTGAACTGGCCAGCGTCTACAATGTCTTCCATATATCACTATTGAGGACATATTAACTTGACCCATCCCATGTCGTGGAGTACAAACCAATTCCGCTTCGGAAAGATTTGACTTATGTTGAACAACCAATTGGGATATTAGACAGGAGAATAAAAGTGTTACACAATAAAGAAATTCCTCTGGTCCAGGTACAGTGGCAATATCATTTAAGGGAAGAATCGATATGGGAACGGGAGGATGAGATTAGGGAGAAATAACCCCACCTTTTTTGTTAATATAATTTTGAGGACAAAATCCTTTTTTAAGGGGGGGATGTTATAAGGGCCTAAATTTTCTCCCAGTCTAGTGACACACACGCCGATGGAGAGTGAAATGGAGACCTAGCGCCATTTGGAGCATCGTCGTGCGCGTGTGAAAGCCCAGCGCTGGCTGTGTAAAGAAAACACAGTGCCAACTGTGTAAGGAAAACGCAGCGCCGACTGTGTAAGGAAAACACGGCGCCGGCTGTGTCAGGAAAACGCAGCGCCGACTGTGTAAGGGAAACACGGCGCCGACTGTGTAAGGGAGATGCAGCACCGACTGTGTAAGAGAGACGCTGCACCGGCTGTGTAAAAGAAGAGGCAGCGCCAGCTGTGTAAAGAGATCCATCGACGCCTGTGAACTCAAGTCTTGGTGCCGGCTGTGACCCAACGCCATCTGCAAAATGAGAGCAAGAAAGAGCAGCACCGAGAGCGTCTTGGTCAAACGTACGTCGTCGCACGAGTCGACGCCGCTTTGTGCATGTCGGCGCCGCGTATGACTGCGTCAGCCACAGTGCTTTCCAACCACCCTCTCCTTTTTAAGCCTTTTCCTCCTTTGGGCAGCACCGTCTCTCCCATTTCTCAATCTTTTTCCCTCTCTTGAAGCTCATTGTAGCCCCTTAAAGACAGTCCACTTGTGGAGCTAAGGAAAGCCCGTGAGCAGGGATTTAAGATACCGTAGGAGTCAAGGTCAACGAGTTTAGCTTCTATGCATCCATGTTATTTGTAAGGATCAAATGTTTAAAATAGGTAAGATGATAGAATGAAAAATGTGAAGTATGAATGGGTTGACATGAGGTTGAAATTTCATATTTGTGCTTCTAAATGTCATGACTGTTCTAACCACATATATGATCTTGTTATTCATGGAGATTCATTAAATTGCTCATTGTGAGACTTGTTAACATCAACAAGGTTCCACGCCCAAAGTGTACCTTGGCCATGAAATATTAAGTGTTCTTTAAAAACATGTTAACTTGAGAATAAGAATTTCCAGAACTGTGACTGTTTTTTCATCAAATTGTTCGATGGCCAAATGGTGTCCAAATGGGACCAAATTGGTCTCAAATGAAATACATGTATGTCTACTTCAAGTTTAATTTTTATGTCATGATAAAATTGTGCATGGATTAAAGGATATGGCCTAAGATATTGAGACATGATACTACTCACAGTCGCTGCTAATTCCAGCAAAGGTGGCACTCTTTGGGCCGTGTTTTGGACCCAACAAACGGTGTCCAAAAACCTTCAAATTACCACCTTTGGAAAGGTCTATGAATACTCAAAGTTGCACGTTTTGCGGTTTTTGGATTTCCCCACGGATTTTGAATTATGCTTCGAAATGCACGAATATGTCACTGCACACTATTGCAAGGAAGATTTCCAGCAACCAATGCTCACCTTGTACTGAGCTATTGACCCACCAAATGGCATCCAAATCCTTTCAAACCACGGTCTTTGTAAAGGTCTATGTATTAGCTCAAAGTTTCATGTTTGAGGCATTTTGAAACTCCCCCTAGATCGCAAGCTACACCCTCGCAAAGAGGGGCGTGTCACCGTTACATGTCACTGCATCAAATTTTATATCCATGCGACACTGAGTTATCTTGATATGTGACAAATGTGAATGCCACATGATAAATTTCATACGAATGCCATAACGATATGTGAATGATGTCATATGACTGCACTTTATGATAAAAAGAGGCCACGAGCACGATGATGATGAAATGAATTCAAAATGAATATCAACTGCTACTGAGTAGACTTGTGTGTAAATGCCCTATGAAAGCTTATGAAATAAATATCTTTTGTTAAACGCTATGACGTTATCGTGAAATATGATTCATCTGTATGACACATTGATTGATGTGAATGAATTGAATGCTCGAACATTATGAATGGCCACTGTTTATATTGATATTGACTACTACGCAGTTGGACACTCACTGGTAGTGAATATTGTTACGATATTGTGATGAATGGCCACTGTTTATATTGATATTGACCACTACGTGGTGGGACACTCACCTGTAGTGGATACTGTTACGATATTGTGATGAATGACTTCTGTTTATATTCATATTAACCACTACGTGATGGGACACTCACAGGTAGTAGATATTATTACAATATTGTGATGAATGGCCACTGTTTATATTGATATTGACCACTACGCGGTGGGACACTCACCGGTAGCGGATATTGTTACGATATTGTGATGAATGACCACTGTTTATATTGATATTGACCACTACGCGGTGTGACACTCACCGGTAGTGGATACTATTACGATATTGTGATGAATGACCAATGTTTATATTAATATTGGCCACTATGCGGTGGGACACTCACCGATAGTGGATACTGTTATATATAGCCTACTACGCGATTGGACACTCATCGGTTGTAAGGAAAGTGATGCCGGCATATCCACCAACCTGCATAATGATAGGGACGGGTTAAGAGAGATGATAGAGGGCCGCACCTTAGATTCATGAAATGAAATGAAATGATTTATGTCTTGCAAGGTAAGGGCCTATCGAACCCCCCAATGCGTGATGGGGACCGTGTGTGTGTGTTGAGGGTATTACGAAGTAGATTCACTCACTTGTCATTGCCTTCGCTTCTGGGAGATAGTAGAGGGTCCAAGTAATGGGATTGACTTGGCCTGATGAATAGGGCCTCCACTGCAGGAGTAGGTGATTTATGGAGTGAGTGGGTAATAATTGAACTTCTGAATAAGGAATGTTTAGGATTGCACTGATTGAATGACTAATGATTTCACTGATTGAATGCTTATGATCACACTAATTTAATGATAATTGTCGTTTGAATGTAATGTTCATACTCGCTGTCTTGTCCTGATATTCGTATATGCTAAACCATAACTTTATATTGATGGGTTGAACTGTTATCGCACCAGGATAGAATTACTATAGATGCACACACTAAACCCACTTACTGGGCTGTATAGCTCACTCCATTATTCCTCCTTTCCTTGTAGATTAATAGCAACAGGTTCAAGGCTTGGAGATCGTGTTTTGAGACAGGAAGTCGAAGCTAGATTTCTCAAAGAAGATGCTTAGACCTTGTTTGTGTCTGGGCTGTTTGGCCCCGGGTTTTTGTTCTTTGTTGATATGTGTAACATTGGGCCTTGATGCCCCAAACTAAATGTAATATCTTGAAAGAAATTTATATAATGAAATTTTGGTGTATGGGATTTCTATGTTCATCTACTAATTGAGTTATTGTTTAGTTCTTTTCCATGGTTTGCTCGATTATCGAAAATAAAAGCGTTGAGTCCACCCCTTTCTGAGTGACAAACGTTACATTGGATCACGAACCCACGCTCAGTCTCCTATCATCGCGTAAGGTACGGTGGTCAGGGGCGGGTCGTGACAAGAACGAGGTCGAAAAGCAGTTGTGTTGCACCTTGTCAAGGTGTACTCAAACTGAATTTCGATGGTAGTTCTCTGGGCAATCTAGGCATGGTTGAGATTGGTGTGGGTTAGCAAAATTGGTACGGTCATATTATCTTTACCTTTGCAAAACCCATAGGCATTGCAACTGTTAACTATGCGGAGATAATGGCTTTGCTGTAAGGATTGAAGGTTTTGGTGAGCAAACATATTGGAGACTATTGTTGTCACACCCCAAGTTTTCTAACATTCCCAATGTACAACAGACTATTCTTATATTATCTACATATAAAACAAATTTAAAATTTATACTATTAAATTCGCACTAAAACAGATTTTTCCATTTCTTTTAATTTGTGCAAAGTCTACTCATAACAATTATTATCATAAAGGACTAGATATATACATCTCTTGATAGAACAAAAATTACAATGTTGCATTTGATCATAAGTTACAAGGGGCAGTACAATCATGCCTATAAATTCTTCAAAGACGGTCCTGCTGCATTCGAACTATGAGACTGCAATTACCCTGAAAAAAATATTTACTATAGTTTGATGAGTTTGGCTACTCAGTAAGTGATCATCATGGTCTTCAAAAATAATCATGGTTGGAAGATATAAATACTTTCAAAATTGAGGTCTATTAAAAACATTGCGAGCAAAAGCATTTATGGAGAACAATATCACTTTCAGAAATGCACAATTAAACATAATCCAAATAATTGAAATGCATGTAAACATTTTAATAGAAATGCATAACTCAAATGATATCACAAAATCCCCCATAGGCGTCCCAAATAGGTCACCTATATAACCCACCAGCATCCTGGATGGGTCCAAACAATCTCTGCAGATCCAAACAATCCTAAGCGGTTTACCGGATGAGTCCAAATAATCCCTGTCGGCGTAACCTGATAGGTCCTAACAATCCATGCAGGTCCGATCATACCTCACAGGCGTCCCAGATGAGTCCAAATAGTCCCTACCGGCATAATCGGATAGGTCCTAACAATCCCTGCAGGTCCGATCATATCTCATCGACATCCCGAATGAGTCCAAATAGTCTATACCGGCATAACCGGATAGGTCCTAATAATCCCTGTACGTCCGATCATACCTCATCGGCGTACCGAATGAGTCCACTTATACTCAAATTATCTCTAAAACTCTTTTAACATCAGAAAACAGCAACATTATATATGCAAAGCATCATTGAAATCATTAACATGAATTCACTTTCGGCAATTTAAACAATCACTTTCATTGAAATATCTGTAAGTAACCAGTCAAACATTTTGGCAATAATTTCTGAAAGGTAGCAGTTCTGAAGGACAATCTTGAAATGTAACATGATAAACAATCTATTATCTATAGAAAAACTTTTATGAGAATCCAAAATTAAATATGGATTATCACAATTTATGGAATTGCCAATTCACAAATAATCATTTCTTAGGCAATACTACAATCAAGTGCAGAAATATCAGCTTTTTAAATAATGAGGAAGTCATTTGCATATGAATCTTACAATGTTTAAATATTCAAAATAGTAGAAAGAAATTTCAATATTTTACTAAAGGCGAAAATATCACGTTTATGTCTAATAATTTACCGTATCTAAAATTGTCAACAATAGACAGGAAAAATAAATTTATTTCTAATAATGTACAGTATTTAAAATTCCTAACAATAGATAAAATATCACAATTTTACTAAAAAGATTATTTTTAAGACAATGAGGTCCCCTACTTTCATGATGCTGATATGCCCATGGGATGATCATCCACCTATCGTGATGCATATATACGCGGTCGAAGCCTGAGATTAGAGAGATTCAAGAGACTATGTTTCTTTTAGGCATTGTGTCGAACATTTGCTGCGCGGTGCTTAAAAGGCCACAACGCGCATGCAGATTGATGGGGTGATTGGAGACGATAAGGTCGTTTAGAGAGAGAAGTAGTCATCTTTTGTGGTGAGCGGTGCCAAAGAGTGGCAGCTTGAGATTGGTGCAGGCTTGGAAGAGAGCAGAGTAAGTCTAAAGGTGGTGGATAGTTGGAGCATCTAAGAGAGATAAAGATTGAGCTCAGCACACTACTAAGTGTGAATTCATTGGGTTGTCAGAAGAGAGAGAAATTGCAGAGAGTGGGTGGAGAGTACAGAGTGCAATTTGTGTCCGTGAACGTGCCTTGTATAAAATCATCAAGGACATACCTAGAGAGAGAGTTTCGTTGGTTGTTAATGGTGTTAAAGAGAGTGGGGTTGCGAATTCCTTCCTCATCTCTCCTGCGGTTCGGGCTTGTCTGCTCGTGGAGCTGTTTCATCTTGATTCCTAGAGAGCGAAAGTGGCTGCCTTCTGATGAACTTTATCTCCATGTCTCACCTGCACACATTATCTGTTCGTGAAGTTTGCAGTGAGGTGGCGATTTGTTTGCGAAATCTGTTGCCTCTTCTATAATGCGTTGATGGGGGATTTGTTTATTCAAGGAGAAACCAGCAACTGCTGTAGCCATTCCTCTTCTTGAGCTGTGAATTTGTTAATTTAAGAGAGAGCTGGAGAGGGTTAAAATGGGAGGGAGGGTAGTGAGGGCTACTAAATACCCTGTGTCCATGACACGTGAATTAAGATGGCAAAACAAAACGATTAGCGTACAGGGCAACGTCAAAAAGAAGAACGAGTGGTCCTCTTGGGCCATATTATAAAAGTGGTCTACAATAGAAATGGTTCACAAGACAACCAAAGTGAAATTACCTGTCGAAAATCTAACATTCCTAACCTAAACGAAAGGATGAGTAAATTAATGGACCCATGATGCATTTTGACACAGTGAATTTTATTTTATTTTATTTATTTATTTTGTATTTATTTTTATCAACATTATTGATTATATTTTTCAACTTCAAAAAATTTAGGGTCGTCACAGTTGTGTTATTGAAAGAGATTCGTTGAATGTGATTAAGTAGTGCAATAAGGATCAATGAGTACCTTAGGAATTGAGATCTTTGTGGTTGTAGATCTTAGATTTGGTGGATCCATTGACGGTCTCTTTTAATCATATCTATAAGGAGGCGAACACTTTGGCGGATTCACTTGGAAAGGATGGTTCTCTACTCTCTTTTCTTTTTATTTCTTTTGATGTAATTTCTTTTATGTAGTTGTTCAATTAATAAAAGTTATTAACATCTGTCCAAAAAAAAACGTTTCACCTTTTGGTATTGACAAAGTTTTCATATATCTAAAGAAAATGCCCATCCTAACAATAAAGTTCCACTTTTACGGATTCTTCACTGGTACTTTGTGGAGCTAATAACAATGTTCATTACTTCATTACAAATAATGTTCATTACTCTCTGATCTACTTCTTTTACGTTATTAGCCGATCATAAATAGTTGAAAAAATTTGTAATCTACGTTAACCACAAATAGTTAGAAGAAAGTTCTGATGATGACGATGATTTCATTTTAACAAAACGAGCTAAAGTTGTCCAATAATTTTCATGAACCAATCTCTTAAATGCAATTGAAACCCTTATTTATTATGAATTGATCTCTTGGGAGTACTATGTAAGAGGAAATGAAACAAATGACCAGTGAGACAAGATAACCTGTCTGTCACTAGATTTTGCAATAAACTTCAAACAATTTATAAAAAAATATCATATAACTAGGATATAAATGAGTGATGAGAATCCAGAGACACAACAATCATCTCAGATTCATCCTATATCAATGTGAGTATATCAAAATTTTGATCCTTTATAATGAGATATGTGGAGTACGAGTTAAAGAAATCCATCAACAGAGAATGCTCACAATATTTCTTTGATATATTTTAGGACATGTTCTAACAAAAAAATCCCTCAACATTTTTATTTATTTTTTGAACTTTGGGTCTACACAATGACACTTTTATAACCATTAGATTTAAAATTCGACGGTTTATAACCATCAGATTTAAATTAAATTTGACGGATAAGAGTGATTGTGATCTCTTTGTACAAAAAAAAAATGGTTTCTTTATACTATTCCTATAAAAAAAAGAGGTGTACATCCCCAACAATCGTCAGGCGGCGTCAAGTTCATAGGATTTCTCACATTGGTCGTCCCATGAGAGTTTGTTCGATTCACGTCCATTCATACTAAAGATGAACGCATCCATAGGACTTGTGTTATCCATAAGGGACCTCAAGTTTAGCTAATGCCTCGAGCTATTCTTTCATAAAAGCAAATTTAAAATATGAAGCATCAAAAAGGAAAGGATTCATAAACAGGATTTTAGTGCATATTCCATCAAGAAGCATTGCAAATAGAGGTGGAAAACATGGAACTTTAATCTCTGACAAGCAAGGGATTTTCCTTATGAAGCAAAAGCTCACACCAAAGGCTACCTTAGGACAGACTTTCCAAATGGGAAATTTGTAATCGATTCTTTAATCACAGGTGCAAAAACATAACATGTTTACCTTTGAGCAGGCATATGCAGGAAATTCAAATGCCTCATCTGGAGCCAATACAAAATACTAAAGTATTTTAAGGATATTATCAATTTGATATTATGCTCAATCCAAAAGACATTTGATACTGCAAGATTTTATTCTGACTAAATACGCCAGTGACAGAAGACAAACAACCGGATATTATATTTTCATGTGTAAAGCACAAGTTACTTGAGAGGGGCAAGAATGATTATGACCTTTTTGTACAACAAGTAAATAGCCGCTTTGTATATTTTTCCGTAAAAATAGTCTACTTCTCTCAATCAATAGTAGGATATCATGAAAACATGTGAATCGATATATTTGCGCATTCTTTCCCCATGGCATTGAAATATGATGAATGAGTATGAAGTACATGCCCATGAACCCATGTTTTATTAAACATTGAAATTCAGAATCATTTCATAGAAGAAAGGAAATGAGTTTACTAGCAGTAGCCATCAACAACTAAAATGAAAATTCAATATTGACTGGCAAAGAATATCATAAAGGTTCTAAGAACAGAAAGATTTCATGAGATTAATGCCAAGCAATGAGAATCTTCATTTGCCAATGCAAGGGTAAGAAGTGCTTAAAAGAGAGGACGGAAACGCCATAGAACATTCACATTCTTTTGCACATGGCAGCTCCTTTTGTATAGTTATTGACCAGAAAACCATGCACTCACATCGACAACTGGAAACAAATATTTCCATACATATACAAACCCTTGAAAGAGGAATATCAATTAAAATTTCAGAGTAATTATCTGAAGTGTTTTCGATTTTCTTGCCTCATTTCCTTTTAAACATCACTTGCATATCAAGTATAAAAGGTACTTGTTACTGCTATCAACTGCAGAAAAATTAGGTGGCCGGCACTCAGAGGTGAATGAAACAACCCACACAAAAAAAACAAATATCTCCTTGAGAAAGAGAGACAAAACAAGAACAATCTTCAGTCTTAGTACCATTAGATATAAGCGACCTCCTAAAACTTCTGATAACGTTTTTCTCAATGGTTTAAATAATGGATCGGCAACCCTGATCGGGCACCTCAAAAACCGATCCAGATCGGCGAATCGGTCATCCGGATTGGGAATCGGTTAAATCGGTCGGATTAAAGCTTCAAAAAAATCCAAAAAAATTATTAAAATTCATTATAAATGTTGTTTTTTAGGAATCCAATAAGAAATGAGGGTACTACATTATTAACTTTCATTGTTTTCATCAAATTATGAATATTGAGATGTTCTTTCCATGTCTGAACTTATGTTGACAATTAAATTTACATCACACAAAATAAATCATAGAATTATCATGGATTAAATATATAATCATATATGGACTACAATAAAGAGTTGACTAAATCGATGAAAAATTGGCCACTAAAATCTTGAATAGGCGGAAAACCCTAATCTGCTAAAAAAACCCAAATTATTACAACCTAACTAACTAAAATATTATATACCAACAATATTTTATTTTATTATATAAATAATAACAAATCCAAAATATTTTATAATATCATCTAATTTAAAATATATTATTGATAACTATAAGAAAAATAGTACACTACATGATTTATAATACAAAAATTAATAAATAAAATAAAATATTTGGTTATCAATGTAGAAATTATTAGAATGCGTACCAATTTTTTCTAATTTTTTAGTTTTCTAGAATAAATTAGTGGAAGAGGTTGTTAGTAGAAAGAGAGAGATTTCAAATGGCCTCATTGTATGAATCCTATCTTTAAATTAATATTACTAAATTTATGTTAAAGACCAGCATGTTATAAAAATAAAAAATATAATTAGACCATTTATTCCTAGGTTGTATTAAAAAATACCTTTTTATTTTTTTGACAAGAAATACTTATTGTGTTATCTTTTTTTTTTTTTTACAACAAAAATATAATACTTGTTGATTATCTTTTTTTTTTTTTAACAAAAGAAGA